GTTTTTATAACCATCTATAATTGGTGGTGAGAAAACTTGTATATATAAAGTATCCAGTACTGATCTAAATGGTACTTTAAATAACAGAAATTTGAATATCCAAAAGATAGAACATTGGAACTCCAACTTCCAGAGATATCAGAGTATAAATTAGATGAGGTTTGTCAGTCTTTGGACTTGATTATATTTGATGTTAATACTTTCATCTTTGTTTTCAAAATGCTAAAATACTCCAAAAACTAGCTTCTATAGGGAAAAAAATTGCAATGTCAATGAGTTCTTTAATTCCTCAGTTGACTAATGTAGGCTTATGCTTTAAAAGGAGATTCAAGCTTATTTCTAGGTCAGTAAGAATATGTATAGCAGTGTTATTTTGGGGTTCATAAAATTAATCAGTAGTCCATAGAGTTTGATTAATGTTAATCAAACATTAATCAAGTGTGTGTGTGTGTGTGTGTGTGTGTGTGTGTAATTGGAAATAGAATCATCAATTTGTGAGCCATTTTTGTTGAATTGTCAGTGCAATAGATGGCTTTAATGAATTAAGACCAAGGCTGATCCTTCATTTCATTTATTGAAAATAAGCCTTATCAGAAGAAAATATGCCCTGTATTATTAGCATGGGTTGCATTTAAATTTCATTATGATTCTTGAATATTAACTCTAATATGGTTAGGGGAATGTGACCTTAGCAAGAACATCACTTACATTTACACTAGCAGCTAAGTAAGTATTGTACACTTCCAAACTCCAGATAAATTTGCACAGGACTTAGTACTACAAAGATATACATGTTTTTATTCCCTAGAACTCTTATACCATGTATATAATATGTACGTGTGTGTGTGTGTATATACATATATATCTTATGTTTTTAGCTCTCTATCTCTGTGTGTGTGTGTGTGTGTGTGTGTGTGTGTGTGTGTCCCTCTCAGCAAGAGTATATTATGAATACAGAGTTCAGTTTTTGGAGTGTGTTTGTGTGTGTTTGAGTTCACAACATAAAACTTCAGAAACTTGACCCAGTTGTACTTGAGTTTAAAGTTAAACTTGGTAGGTAACAATACTTCCTGAAAGGTTTATATTGCTGTGAAACATTAAGTGCTTCCAAAGTACTAAATGTGGTGGGAAATATATACAGACGGCATGATTAGGCAGTTACACAGCTTACATAAACAGTAAAGTTTCCATATTTGTATATATTTTCATTCTGTATATATTCTCCCATCTGGTAGCCTACCCCGAGGCTTCATTTTATCACCCTACTTGTCCCATAAAGTGTCTTGAGATTTTGTATTGAACAAAACAATGAAAATGCTAATTAGTTATATTTTTCATCATAATCTTTTTTTGATACTAAAGGATCCCTCTCCCTTTTCTGTTCCTGTTCTGTACTTTACTTCCAATGAGTCTCATTGCCCCAAAGCTATCATTTTTAGGCTTCTAATATTGTTTTCTGTTCACAGGGCTTAATAACTGCTTTTTAATGGATTCTGTTTACCTTAGAGGCAGGCATTTTAGAGAATTCAGCTTATATTTGGGAAGGATTAAAAACTTCTATGTGGCTTTGGGGGCTTTTTCCTCAGAAAATTAAAGTGGTTTAATCTTTTGAGTGAAAGAGGAACCGAAATGATTCCTTTTTAAAATAAGACACTTGAGATTTGAAAGTGATCACAAAAGAAGGTAATCCTACATTCATTTAAATTCATAGACAGAATATTTAATGCACATAATTAGTACAGTTTTTTTAAATTATTTTTTTTACCTGCTTTAAGAAAATGGCTATGAAACCAAGCCTTATAAATAGAAGTTCTATTGTTCTAATAAAAATAACCATGGAGTTCACCTTTTGAAAGCTTCTTTTTGTAGTTAAAATTATATCCATTTCTCTCCTTCCTTTAGCCATGAAAAGTCCATCTAAGCACTGATTCCAACTATGCTAAATTCAATACCCAGAAAAGGGTCTTATCATTTATTCATTTGTACACTTAAACATGTGTTGCTCGTGTGCCCCTAATACTTATGTAGATTGACCTGGCCACACAGAGCTATTTCTTCATAATAAGGATACTGATAGATTAAGATAAAGAAAGAAGTCTGAGATGGTTTAAATTTGGGTAAATATTGATAAGAGATTTAAAAATAAAGATGCATTTTGTTTTAGGTATGATTCATTTACATGTGAATGAATATGTATCTCTTACAGAACAATTTAAAGGAAAGTAGTCACTAACTGAGAAACAATATTCAGAGAACAATAGTCATCATCTACAACAAACTTTCATAATCCAAACAAGAGGCAAAAGGAGAAAGCACTATGCCAGGAAGTTGAGATACTAAGAAGAAAAATATATAATCACTAACTTCTTTTTACATATGTGGCTGACAAGTTTATTAGAAATGAGCATTTTCTTCATTTTCTTTCCATCTTCTGAATTCCCTCACATTTCACCAATATTTTTTATCTACACTTACCACCATCTGGCTTGTTTTAGTTATTACTCCATATTCATGTTATATCTCTGATACTAGACAGTGAGCCCCATGAGGACAACAACTTGAGACTGTTTCATCCAGGTATAATACCAGCCAGCATGCCCCACAGCAGGGGACATATAACAAGTGCTTAATGAATGAATAAAACAAATTACAAGGCAAAATAATACATAGTGTCACCTCCATAGGATCTTTGATGAAATGCCATATTGGGCCTTTGGTGGCCACCCGGTCCATTTTGTTTTTCAGCCTACCACCTCTCTAATTGCTCATTTTGTTTCATTTGCAAAGCCTTTATTGTTGCATTTAATTATATTCAATATGAATTTATTTTTGGTTTAATCTAACATTTTTTTTTTTTTAATCCTCACCCGAGGACATTTTTCCATTTTTTGTTCAGGTAGAGTGGGAGGGAGAGAGAGGAACAGACAGAGAGAGAGAAACATCGATGTGAAAGGAACACATCGAGTGGCTGCCACCCGCACAACCGACCAGGGCCGGGGACAAACTGCAACCGAGGTACGCGCCCCTAGCGGGAACTGAACCCGGGTCTCTCAGGACCGCAGGCCGACGCTCTAACCGCTGAGCCAGACTGGCCAGGGCTAATCTAACATTTTTTTTTATCCTCACCCGAGGATATTTTTCCATTTTTTGTACAGATAGAGTGGGAGGGAGAGAGAGGAAGGGAGAGAGAGTGAGAAACATCGACGTGAAGGGACATATCGAGTGGCTGCCACCCACACGACCAACCAGGGCCGGGGACAAACTGCAACTGAAGTACGTGCCCTTAGTGGGAACCGAACCCGGGTCTCTCCGGACCGCAGGCCGATGCTCTAACCACTGAGCCAAACCGCCCAGGGCTAATCTAACATTTTTTAAGCTCTTTGAGAGAAGGAAATTTGTCTGTTCTATCCATTGCTATGAAAATCCCTTTATTTTAGAGCACTACCTTATGCAAAGTAGTAGATAAATATTTGTTGAATAAAGAAATAAGGTTGTAGGGAACAGGGATGGATTTAATTTGAGATAAAATTGATTTATAACACTGATAAGTAATCCAGATTCAGATACCCAAACACTAGATCAGAAGAGGCAGGTCCCCTCTGATCTTCAGGCCCCTTACTGATATGTTCACATGGTATTACCAGCTGGTGTATCTGTTGGACTATCAGTAATGCCATGCTGTTTAGTGGCTTAAGGTAAAATCCCATAGTTCATATCCAAGGATTGAGATTAATATGACATTTTGAACAACCTATTCATGAGTAGTAATTTCAGGTTATATAAACAAACAGTTATCCAAAGGATACATATCAAAGTGGGATATATAAGGGATGCATGGCCCTAAATAGGTGAGACTCTCTAAGATTATTCATTTGAGTACTGGACTGAAATTAGAAGTTTCAGGTCCTTTACTGCTACTAAATAATTGAGGAGCCTTAGATTTCTGTGTCTCGGTTTCCTCTTCCCAGGATGGAGGTGTAGGGGATGTAGAAGTGGCATACATGGATTATTAAATCCCTTCTAGCTGTAATGCTTCTAGATTCTACTATCGTCAGTGAGAAAGGGCTTGAGTCAGAAGAATGGGGAAGATGAGGAGAGGAAACAAGACCATCATGCTCTAACTAAACATTCCCTCTCTATGCACAATTCTTCACCTGCATTGACATCTGGTGACATTTCTGTTAGAAATGTTCACAGTGCATCAGTAACAAATAAATAATTTCTATACTCACCTCTACAAAATGAAGGAGCAAGCATTTTGACTTTAGTAAAAAAGTTGCTAAATTTCTTTCTACTCAATTATTATCAACTGTTATATGTGCATAAATATATTCTGGGCTTCATAATTTTTCTCTATCCTTTGGTCATAACTACTCACATTTTCATTGTTAAATATCGGTAAGCCTATTTGTCAGCTGTATTGCTCAGAAAAAAAAAGTAGAGTATGTTAATGCTGGTTTTATATCAAGGATTAAAGATTATTTTTAATACCCTACATGAAAATGTCCTTTGCTGAATGTCCATTAGAAAACTTTTATTAACTTATAATAACATAATTAGGCTAACTAAGCAACTAATGTTCCTCAAAAAGCATAGTTAATTTTAACTATATAATAATGTAATAAAAAATAGCTTTTAAAAGAAAATGATAAAATCCTACATTACATGATGTATTAAATATAAATTAACCTTAATTATAGTTAACCTCATTTTCACAAATATAATCTATACTTTTGCTAGAACATGCTATAACTTAAAGTAATTCATTTCCTCAATGCAATAATAACCTTCCTTCATTTTTCTTTTACCAAATTAAGAAACATAAACATAATTTTACAAGTTTCTGTATGTTTTCTCTAAGTAAAGTTTGTTTTCATTATATCAATTATTTTTCTCAAAGGTATGAGGAAGAATAAAAAAACGAGAGTAATAATAAATCTGTTGATGCACACAATAAATTATATTATGAAGACATTTAGAAATTAAACATTAGCAATCTTGTGCTTGCAGCAGTGCATATACTAAAATTGGACCAATACAGAGACAATTAACTTGGGCCCTGAGTAAGGATGATACACACATTTGTGAAGCATTCCATATTTTAAAAAAAACAATTTAATGAATGGGAGCAACTGAAATATCAGATGCAGAGTTTAAAACAATAGTTATAAGGATGCTCAAGGACCTTAGAGAAAGAATGGATGATCTCACTAAGAACTTAAACAGATAGTAATCACTAACAATGACATGGAAACCATACAGAAGAACAAGTTAGAAATTAACAATACACTAGAAGGAATCAACAGCAGATTAGATGAAGCAGAGGACTGAAGCAGGCATTTAGAGGATGAAAGAACAGTGAGCACCCAAGCAAAGCATCAAAAAAGAAAGAAAATTAAAAGAAATTAAGAAGTCCTGCCTGAGGGGCTCAAACAATTGGAGTATGTTCTATGCACCAAATGGTTGCAGGTTCAGTTCTCATCGGGCACCTACCTAGGTTGCAGTTTCAATCCCAGTTGGGGCACATATGAGAGAAAACTAATTGAAGTTTCTCTTTATCCTCATCCTCCTTCTCTAAAAATCAATAACAACATTTTCTTGGGTGGTGATTTAAAAAAATAGAAAAAGAAAAAGCAAAGTCTAAGAAACATCTTGGACAGCATCAAGGGTAAAATCATCTACATCATAGGCTTATCAGAAGAAAAATAGAGTGAGCAGGGATAGAGAACCTATTTGAAGACATAATGGTTCAAAATATCCCTGACTTGGTGAAGGAAAAAGTCACATAAATTCTGGATGTACAAGATCCCAATTAAGATGAACCCAAAGAGACCCACAGCAAGACACATCATAATTAAAATGGCAAAGGCTAAAGACAAAGAGAAAATCTTAAAAGCAGCTAGAGAAAGACAGCTGCATACAAAGGATTTACCATAAGGTTGTCAGCAGATTTCTCAACAGAAATATTTCAAGCCAGAAGGGATTGACATGAAGTATTCAAAGTGATGAAAGCAAGGACCTGCAACTAAAAATACTCTGTCCAATAAGACTATCATTTAAAATTGAAGGCAAATTAAAGAGCTTCCCAGTTAAAAAAAAAAAAAAAAAAAAAAAAATTAAAGGAGTTTATTACCACCAAAACAGTATTTCAATAAATGTTAAAGAGATTGCTTTAAGAAGAAAAAAAATAAAAAGAGGAACATAGGTATGAAAAAAAAATGGTAATAAATAAGAACCTATCAATAACCTTAAACATAAATGGCTTCAAAGCTCCAATCAAAGACATAGGGTAACTGAATGGATAAGAAAACATGACCCGACTTCTGGTCAAGATGGCATCATAGGTAAACACAGTATTGCATCCTCCCTCAACCACATCAAAGTTAAAACTAAACTACAGAACAACCATCATTCAAAACCACCTGAAATCAAGCTGAATGGAAGTCCTACAACTACAAAATTAAAGAAGCAGCCACACAGAGACTGGTAGGAGGGGTGGAGGTGGAAGGGCTGGTCCCTCACCCACGTGTGGTGGATAAAAACCAGGAGAGTACTTCGGCTGCGAAGGTCCTCCCTGAGGATTGAGGGGTCCCCGTCCCATAACAGGCATCCCACTCAGAGTTCCAGTGCCAGGAAGAGAAGTCCCCATAACTTCTAGCTGGAAAAACCAGCGGGAACTGAGGCTCAGGGAGGCTGAGGTGGCTAGAGCCCCAGGCAGCTCCTCTTAAAGGGCCTGCGCTTGGACTTACTCACTCCCTCTAAGCTTGAAGGGGAGGCAGCTCGAGGAGCGCCAGAGACATACAAGGAAGAACTGAGCTGTTTGGCACTGGAATGAGGGCTGGAGAGGGGGCTTTCTCCGGGACAAACATGCTGTCAGAGGCCCTTGTTCCTTTGGTGAGCCCTTTTCTCATGAGGCCAGCAGATAGCGACCATATCTGGGATTCCAGCAACCTGGCTCACACTGGTTGCCCCACCCTGGTGATTCCCTAAGGCCCTGCCCCACCCATCTTTCAGGCCCATCCAAGCTGTTGGCAGTTGATTAACCATAGGATTGGCCTGTCTTGGATTCTGCTTCAGGTTTTCCTAATTCTTTCAGACAAGCAGCATCTGGTCTCAGCTAGCCCCATACCTTTCGTTAAGCAATACCTAGAAACAAACACAGGGAGGCAGCCAAAATGAGGAGACAAAGAAACAGGTCCCAAATGAAAGAACAGAACAAAACCCCAGGAAAAGAATTAAGCAAAATGGAAATAAGTAACCTAACAGATGCTGAGTTTAAAATACTTCTTATAAAGATGCTCAATGAACTTAGTGAGTACCTCAGTGAACTTAGTGAGGGCCTCAAGAGCATAAAAAAGGACCAGTCATAAATGAAGGATGCACAGTAAGAAATGAAGGAGGCACTAACTGAAATAAAGAATAATTTACACAGATTCAGTAGTACAGTAGGTAAAGCCAAGAAGAAAACTATCGATTTGGAATATAAGGAAGCAAAAAACACCCAATCAGAACAGCAAAAAGAAGAAAGAATCCCCCAAAATGAGGATAGTATAGGGAGCCTCTGGGACAACATCTTAGAGGTGCCAGAATGAAAAGAGAGAGAACAAGAAATCGAAAACCTATTTGAAACAATAATGGCAGAAAACTTTTCTAACCTGGTGAAGGAAACAGACATACAAGTCCAGGAAGCACAGAAAGTCCCAAACAAGATGAACCTCAAGAGGCCCACACCAAGACACAACATCATCCAAATGCAAAAGGTTCAAGACAAAGAGAGATTCTTAAAAGCAGCAAGAGAAAAGCAGTTAGTTACCTACAAGGGAGTTCCCATAAGGCTGTCAGCTGATTTCTCAAAAAAAAAACAAAAAAAAACTTTGCAGGCCAGAAGGGAGTGGCAAGAAATATTCAGAGTGATGAAAAGCAAGAACCTACAACCAAAATTACTCTATCCTGCATAGCTGTCATTTAAAATCGATGGTCATATAGAGTTTCCCAGACAAGGAAAAGCTAAAGGAGTTCATCACCACCAAACCATTATTATATGAAATGTTGAAGGGTCTTTTTGAAGAAAAAGATAAAAAATATGAACAACAACAAAAAAAAAGATGGCAATGAATACATATGTATCAACAATTGAATTAAATAAAATGAACAAGCAGAACAGAAACATTCTCATAGATACAGAGAACATTTTGTTGGTTGCCAGATGGGAGGGAGTTTGGGGAATGAGTGAAAAAGATGAAGGGATTAAGAAGTACAAATTGTTTTCTAGACTGACAAACTTCAAAGGGGGGTTGGGGGTGGGAAGAAATAAACCAAAGAACTTATATGCATAACCAATGGACATAGACAACAGTGTGGGAAAAGGCAGGAGTGGGGCAGGAGTGGAGAGGAGGGGCTCAATGGGGGGAAAATGAGGAACATCTGTAATACATTCAACATTCAACAATAAAAATTTTTTTAAAAAAGAAAAGAAAATGTGAAATGAAAGAATTGAGAGTGGGTCAGTTTGACTAAAGGCAGGATAATTGGCACAAACAGAAAAATTAAAGATTTGATTTGTCATTTTGTTTATTTCTTGAAAGGCAGACAGTTTATATTATTGTTATTCATTACTTAAAGTACTGATAGTAAAGAAAAATTCCAGTTTTAAAATAAATAAATAAATAAACATAGAAAGAAAATCTTGGCGGACTTGAAGGGAGAGATTGACAGCAGTCATCAATGGAGAGATCTTCCAGACAAAAAATTCAGTGAGGAAACTGCAACCTTACATGATGCACAAGAACAGGTAGATTTAATTGATATTTAAAGGACATATCATCCCAAAGCAGTAGAGTATACATTCTTCTCCAGTGTACATGGAACATTCTCAAAGGTAGACCACACATTAGGATACAAAATAAGTCTTAACAAATTCAAGAAGATTGAAGTCATACCAAGCATCTTCTTGGATCACAATGATATGACACTAGAAATGAACCACAATATTTTAAAAAGTTCAAACAAATGGGGGCTAAATAGCATGTTATTAAACAATGAAAAGGTTAACAATTAAATCAAGGAAGAAATAAAAAATTACATGGAAACATGAAAATGAGCACACAGCAACCCCAAATCTACAAGACAGAGCAACCGCAGTCCTGAGAGGGAAGTTCATAGCATTATATGACTACTTAATGAAGGAAATAAATAAATAAACAATCTAATGCTACACCTAAAATAACTAGAAAAAGAACAACAGGAAACCCATAGTAAGTAGAAGAAAGGAAATAATAAAGATCAAAATGGAAATAAATGACATAGAGACTAAAAAAACAATGTAAAAGATCAATGAAACCAAGAGCTGTTTCTTTGAACAAATAAACAAGATTGATGGATCTGTAGCCAGACTCATCAAGAAGCAAAGAGAGAGGACCCAAATGAATCAAATCATAAATGAATGATGAGAAATAATAGCTGACATCACAGAAATGCAAAGGGTTGTCAGAAAACATCATAAACATCTATATGCCTAAAAATTGGACAACCTGGGAAAATGGTTAAATTCCTAGAAACATACAATCTTTCAAAACTGAATTAGGAAGAATCAGAAAACCAGAATAGACTGATTATGACAAATGAAATTGAAACAGTAATAAATAAATAAACAAACAAAAACTCCCAGCAAACAAATGTCCTAGATGGCTTCACAGGCAAGTTTTACCAAACATTCTAAGAACTAACAGCTATCCATCTAAACTATTCCAAAAAATTGAAGAGGAAGGAAGATTTCCAAGTTCTTTTTATGAAGCCAGCATGATCTGAATTAAAAAAAAACAGATAAGGACAGTAAAAAAACAACTATAAGTCAGTATCCCTGATGAACACACATGCTTAAATTCTCAACAAAATATTAGCAAACCAGATCTAGCAATACATAAAAAAGATCATATACCATGATCAAGTGGGATTTATTCCAGGGATGCAAGGTTGGTACAATATTTGCAAATCAATAAATATGATACATCACATGATCATATCTATAGATGCAGGAAAAACATTTGATAACATTCTAGCCCCCATTTATATTAAAAACTCTCAGCAAAATGGCAATAGAGGGAA